TGCACAATGTTAAAATGGGCTAAAAATAAAGTTTTAAAAAGCCCTCATAACTTTAGAATGAATCAAGATTTTTAAAAACAGTTTGTGGCATTGTAATCAGGGTAAAAATCTAGTTCGAAATAATGGGTCACAACCCCACCTTTACATTTGAAAAAAAAATTTGCATCCAATATGGCGGATCCAAGATGGCGGCCGGAAATGACCACCTTGTCAAAATGAAGTACTTACTACCCAACAATGTTTGGAATTGTGGTCTAAGATTGATATTTGAAAAAATGTAGAAAAAAGTTGGGGGGGGCTATTTTCAAGTTTCCATATTTCCAATTTTCTTTTTGTAGCCAACTTTAGAAAGTTCGTTAGAAACTTTAAAGTTCTACTGGAATGGTTTTGTTAATAAGTGGGTCGTTGGACAGCTTAGTTCGTGTAGATTTTCTAATTATAAAAGTGTGATTTTATTAAATATGTGGGGTAAAAACAACAAAAATACATTTAAAAAATGTTTTTCAGGTTTCTGTTTTCAAATTTCTTAGCGTTGCCCAAATATAACAGGTCTTCTTCCTTCAACAGCTGTGTTGATACATCATTCATTGTGGGGCATGGCCGCTGCCATCAAACATCACATTGGCTGGTTCAAAATTTTCTAAACCTGATAAGATTGACGTTTTGTTTGGTCAGGAGCCATGGGCAACCACAGGGGGGGTGGCGCGCTTGCACCCCCTGGCTAAAAAATAAGAAATAAATTTAATACCCATAATGTTCTGTAATCAATTAGGTTTGTTAAGGAATTAATAAAAAAGTATGTTTATAATGTTCATGTCTAAGAAATGTTTTAAATTGATGTTTAAATCAATTTAAAATAGGTCAACAAAATAGGGAGTCCAACAAATAAGTAGTTGACTCCACAGATGTGCAATTCTTTCACTTCAACAAATTAAACTATTCAGAAAACAAAACATCAACTTTCTTGGCTGTTATCTAGGCTTTATTCAACTGTAATGTTTATTCTTTACAATTGTTTGGCCTGTGCATTTTACTATATAAATTATACATAATAACTTCAAATAGCTTATTAATTTAATGTTGGCATATAAATGATGACTTGATGCACAATATAATATATTGTTTTGGTTGGTTCTATGTGTTACAAAATAGTGTAAAAATACGTTTTAAAACACTATATTTTCAGAAATTTTCCCCCCGGACCCCCAATGTTCGTTAGACCTACCATGAATATTGCACCCGCCGTTCCAAATCCTGCGGGCGCCTATATCAGGAGCATTTCTTCAACCTTATAGAAAATTGAAGAATAGCACTATAAACAATATGCCTACACTACAGAACACCAAATTGGGATGGATATTAGAAGGCAAGATTCCTATGAGAATGAATGCAGTCTCATATCATGCTACCGCCAACAAGCAAGCACAAGACAAATAGCAGTCACCAGAGCATATTTTAAGGGATTTCCACTGGGCGACAATGGCGCCGGACTTACGGGGGGAATATCCCCCATCAAAACGGGGGGGTCGGAGGGTTCCCCCCGGAAAATTTTTGCATAAGTTAAAGTGAAAATCACACTTTTCTACGTATCTTTTAATGAATTTTTCGATTATATTTGATTGTAAATAGTCCATATAATCTCACTTAATTACGTATTCTAGAACGTTGTAACAGGCCAAGGCTCCCTTCACAACCTGTTGGGCCAAAATCATAGCTCAATACTCTAAAAATATTTACATCATGTTATTTTTTAAATCCCGATACATTTAAAATGTGAATCATAATAAAAAATATGCCGGCACCACCCACAGTCACTGGGCGAGAAAATCTCAGCACTGGGATACATATGTGTCGCCCAGTAAACATGTTATTTTATGCCCTGGCAGTCACCGGTACTACTACGTAAGCAGCAACATTACCACTATCAGCATACTCTATACCATCAAAGGATAAGGTATTAGCAGCATTCGCAACCACCCCCATAGTAGCAGCAACTAACACCAAATGTCTCCTTGGCCAAAGAGGGCGCCAAAACTAGTCAACCCTAAATAAGAGCCTACGCTCAAAAGACATGCAAAACTCAACTGAAGTCCCTAATCATGAAGGTCGAACGCAATTGGAAAACATCCACATCAAATCAAATTCTTTAAAGGTATATGTCATAACTACCACCGATATCACAGCAGTCCGTGTTACACCTAGGCGATCGTCGCATATGAGTGGCAACTCCTGGCTACTGAAGGCAACCGTCCAACCGCTGCCAATCAAAATTCAAAAGTGAGTGATTAGTGGTATCTGATGTGTAGTGAGTGCTCAATGTATGTACAGAAATCAATTTATTCATGCTGTGTATATTTAAGACTCATTATCATCATTCATTTTAATTACTTATGTAAATCATACATTTCATTAATTTAACTTTAAAATGTAAATAATTAATTTTGAGGAATAATGTTTCAATTTGCCATTGAATTAATTATATTTATATTATTCACTTTAGTTGTGAATATTATAATTTTAATGTACTAGTCATACAACTAGTAACCGACTTGGCAATCGGTCAGTGGAAGCGTGTCCCAACTCCGCTAGCCAGCATTGTCTTGCAATTTATTTGGGTTTTGTTGAGTGTCGCAAAGTATTGGGTACATCGATTGCTACATCGCGTTCGGTTGTTTGGATCGTGGCATGGAATGCGTGGCCTGATTGTTCTGCTGACATGAGGTGTCACAGTTCCGTGTGACGTGTAGGACCACCGAACCTGGAGGTAGTCAGTCGGAGTCGGGTTCGAAGAGTCGGGGAGCCGCGGTTACGCGCTATCTTTCCTTCCCCCGCGGGTGTCCGTGGAGATGGGCATGTCCGCTTCCCAAATATGTTCACTTTTAAATAGTCTATATTTTCAATTGATAGTAGACTCATAACAAATAAATCTATTCTTTCAACATAATAAATCAAGTGCTTGAATCTCAACTCCCCAGCGTTCAATCCATGAGCTTATATTAGAACAGTTTCTGGTTCTGCCCTTCCCGTGCGTTGTCGTTACATTTGTATATTTCTTTTAAATATTTCATGATTTTAATTACTAAACTCATTGTTCATAATTTGCTATTTGTTCCTTATGTTTAAGTTAATCTTCATTCAGTAATTTCCATTAATACTGTAGCATTATAATTATTAACTAACATCATACTTTATTAAACAGTGTTTCCTCTATGTGCAATGTTATTTAAATTCAGTTCCAACAACCCAAGTTCAATATTACATAAACTAGATTGATTCATTTTCATTTAGTGTGTCTGTGTACAATGCAGGACGAAGATATTTTAAAGAACCTCTCAATATGTATATATTTAAAAAAACTGCCATAAAACTTACTATTGCAGCAGTTCCCAAACTATGGGTTGTTTTGGTCAGTGGAAGAAGCAATTTTGGTGTGTCGCGGGATGAGATGAGGCCAAACATTAGAAATGTTTTTTTTTTCTTTTATGGGACTCGTAGTTTTTCATTGCCAGAACAGTCTACTCCTACTGAGCACCAGGATAGTGCCAATGGGTAGCAAGGGACACGGCTGTACATGCATTTTTTTCAGAATATTCACAGTTTAACATGATGTGTCTTTTAGCTTAAATCTAGTAATTTTAAACACTCATTGTTGGCAGAATTTTTATGTGTGGATTCTAATTCTTAATTGGGACTTTTTGGGTATGAATAATGCTCTAATATTGCGATTTAGGAAAATGTCTTCATCATTTTCATGACCTAAAATTAAAAATACTGCCACAATAGACAATGGGACATCCAAACACGTTTTTGTACCAATCTTAACGACGAGGATCGTGATGTTACCGCAAACGTGGGAGATGATTACGTAGTGACCATTGTAGGTCTCATGGTAAGACCTAGACCCGCGACCGATTTGCTTTTTTCATTTTTATATAACCAGAGGCCAAAATCACCATCTGTTCAAATTCATAAAAACATTCAAAAACATATCTGTTAGCATAATAATCAACTAACTCAAGTATAAAATAACTCAAGTAAAAATAATTAAATTTTTATGAAATTTGATACAAACGCGTGAATCTACATTTATTTGAACAAGTTTGCGAATCATCATGATCGGACTATGGGAACATGGTTTTACAGAGGGGTTTATGGGCTAAAAATTGGTTTTTCTCATTTCTGACTCCTAAAACATTAAATCTAACAATTGTTTTCTAAGCTATTTTGTAGAGCAGTTATAAGAGTAATAGAGCAGTAAGAGATATATGGCAGTGGTTAAATATGGAGTTAAAATACGTATATTTTCATCAACGAAAAAAGCTTGTGTATATGAGATGTAACCCTTAAGAATTGAGCATCATCTCTTCTGATGCAAATGGGATCCAGAACCTCGTGTATTTTTCACGATGCACATCCTCTAAGCTTGTAATAGCTATGCTCATTGGAAAATACTAAATTCAATTAACAAGTACTGTGATTATATCATTTACACGTCCACAATTGGTTTATAGAAACAAGATTTAACCGACACGAAAAAGATTTTATTTTATTTCTTTTATCCAGAAAGTGGAAGCAAAAACAACCACCCAGTTTAAACAGCTGTTTAAAAAAAAATATTACCCGATTGATATTTTAAAAAGTTCCCAGCTGTAATTACTCATTAAAATTCACTCTTTTCAGTAACATCAAAGTTAGATCCCTAACTCTAATACTTTTTTAGAAAAATGTACCTAAGATGAGGAAATTAACATGGGATAGGAAGGCGGGAAGACCCCCCTTAAGCGATTTTGGAAATAGAATATAACCTGTTGAACTCTATTTACTGGTATGAATAAAAAGTCAAGTGTGGCGGTACCCTAAACAAGCTGAGGTAAAACTAAATGCAGTCATTTAACACAAATAAACAGTTTTTTAAAAAAATATACCTTTATTTAAAAAAAACAAAAACAGATACATTCAATATCAATAACAAAATACAGTACATTCAGTATATTTCATTATTACTATCATACCTTCTATTCTGACAGACAAACATGTTGCAGTTATGTTAATTTTTGATCAATTTTGTGGCATTATTGCATTGTTGAAATAATGAATAATCTATGAGTAAATAATAATCAATAAATAATATTATGTAACAAATATTATAAACTATACATAATATTATGAATAAATAATTATGAAAAATTCATATAGAGTTATAATCTTAAAGGAAACATTGCTCATAAATAAGAGCTTTTTAATAGTTATTGATTGTATAAAGCTAACACTAGTTGTTGTTTCTACCACCTGGAATGAAATACTGTGAGGAGTGCGAGCAGCTCGATATTCAAGTCGAACTTAACAGCTTGAGTGATCGAGAAGTGAGTGAGAAAAGCAAAAAGCAGCTAGTCAAGATATAGCCATGCTTACTGTCGCAATATCACAATCAAAGAACAAGTCATTGAAGATTGCTGGATCAAAACCTTACCACTTTCGCCACAATCTGTTGTGCTGAGAGGGGTTGTATTCCTTTGCAACAGGTGAACTAAGTAGCTCATGGAATAAGTTGGGAGGGTTATGAACTGAACGTTTCTCAAGCCATACAGCAAACAAACACTTGCAGTCTTCACAGACACGTTTTGTGATTGAGATAATTTCGTGATGGTAAAACTCGGCTCAAGCTTGATTTTCTGACTTGGTGCTTAATCACTCAAGCTTTTAGGCTAGACTCAGCTCGGTTCAAAAATCGAGCCGCTTAAACTCCTCTAGAATATTGACAGATCTTTTCTTTAAGCAAGTATTATTCAATATGTGTGGTTTTTGGTACTGTTTAGCAAGAATTCAAACCCAATTGTGTGATATCTGGGGACCTACAGGTTAACAGTTATGCCCTTTACCCTACAAAGCAGACTACTAAACATTTTTTAAAGCACTTCAGCAAAGAGGGTTAAAGCTTTCCTTCTGCCAACCAGTCCAGAATGTTTGGTGCGAAGTAGGTAATTATACAATCAGCTCCTGAAAGAAAAACAATTCGATCGTTACAAATTGAAATCAATCAGTATCAATATTATGAGAAAGTACTGTATTGTTATATGGACAGGAGCTGTAATGCTGTAACTGCTCTTTGCAACAAGGTATGACAGTCAGCACAGAATATGAAAACTTAATCCTTTGAGCCTTTTAAGTAGTATCCTCAAAGAATGTACGACAGTTTCTATAGTCAATGATACCTCATGAGAATTAATAGTTTTACACAATTTATGAGTATACTATTTAGAGTTAAGTGGTTAAGAGTGTTAAATGTTTAGAAACATAAATGACTTTGGAAAATTGTTTAAAACATGTATACATTTTGACCGTCTTAATGTCTTCACAAAATGTTACTGATTTTCTATAATAAATAACATAGTCGTAGAAACATACTACTTACTGTAGCACCAAAAACAATTTTTTTTATCAGCTGTGTAGCGCTATTAAATGATAGTATATTTCATCACTTGTGCGAGGGTTAAAAAGACACTTTTTGCCCGTGTGATGAACTATATTTTTTGTAATATTGCTTGAACAAACTATGTTACAAAACTGAAATAGTTTTCATTTGAAGATAACCTCTCAAGACTACTTCTACAGTAGATTGTTTACAATTTAATTTTCTAATGGAAACAAGCAGCTGTTTAGTAAGTGATTAAATTGTTTTGACTATTATGATTTTGTTAGTGTACATTATAATGTTTACAATAAGGCAACAATGAATTACAAAAGATAAAACAACCGATACATACTTTCGATAAATGCAATCGTTTACACTAAAAATATACAACTGAGTTGACAACAGCTGATTTTTCCCCCCTAGGGGCTAAAGACGATTTTACTCCCTAAAGAGTAAAAATGCTACGTTAGACCCACAACCCATGCATTAAAAATGGCTGTTTTTTCTGCAGTATGACAAAAAAAGCATTTTTTAAATGTAAGATAGCAAATCTGAACATTCATGTTCTTTTTGCTGCCATGGAGACCAATTACCGGCAACATTTAATTTATAAGCTCCAACTCAAACTCTTGAGGGCAGAATTCTAAGTTGATATTCAATTGGGAATAGTCTATAGCAATTCTTGGTAAATGTTTGCGCAAAATTTTCACTTAATTGAGCCAGTGGTTTTTTCATCTCATGATGGTAAAATAGACTCCTCGCTTTTATACAATATTATGAAAAAAATATTACATTATGTTTGCATTGCAGCTCTGTTTGTTTATCTTATTGAACAGAAATCAGAAAATGTTTTCTGCAATGACTGTCCAGAAGGAAGTTTTGACATGGCGCAGCTGCAGTTCAGACTTATTATCTTTAGACTGTTTTGAAAATTCTGAGCACCTTGTAATTTCTAATTTGTCTGCAGTAGAATGTTAAAATAAACACAGTATAGCACCATTACAGGGCTTTTTTTAAAGTTTTCCTGAAACTTAGGAAGTTTAGTTCTCAAGACTGTAATAGAAAAACTTTGTTGCAAAAAGTCTTTTGTAACCATACTGCATGTCAGTGAAAACAAGAGGTCAGAATCACAAGTGCCCAATTTTTAGAGCTTCAAAAATCTTTGGCCACAATAGATGGCTTTGAATACAACTATAAACTGAATAGTGAATAGTAAACGTTATATTTGTAAAAATTGTTACTCTTTGTACATGTGTTACAAAGCAATTACATTTATATTTGTATTGATACTGATATTAAGATGGCATGTGAATGTCTAAACAGTCTTAACCAGTTATTGAGAGCAAATAGTGTATATTTTTGGGTTCCTGGTTACTGGACACCAGGGAATAAAGTACTATGATGAGGCAGATAAACTAGGGAGAATAGCTACTTTTACTACTACCAAATACTTTTTTTCACAGGGTCTGAACCTCTTTTGAGGATTTAAGAAAGACGCTTACCTCAATAGGAAACCCTGTGGAAGAGAGGTTGATTCAATTAAAAGAGCAAGGAAATAACTGACCATTCTGATATGCAGATAGGTTAAGGAGGTACTTGGAAACTGTAACCAAAACTCAAGCTTATCAAGTTAAGAATAATCTCTGGCAGGGCTTCTAACTAGTCACATAAGACTGAAAAGAAACCGTGGAAAAATTGTGTATTTAAATCTGTTATATATTTTTCAATTACTCAACAAACAATTGGAACAATCATATTTTCTGTTCATTTATAAGTATTTTAGAAATTCTGTCAGGTACGAGAGGAAACACTGACTTTGTTCCGTATTCAAGCATCTACGCAACCTAGGTGAATCCAGACTTCATTCATATTTTGTTCTGACCCTTGCCCTGTCACGTGATGTCTGGCAATTCCCCCCATTCCCCATGTACTCTTCAACCCGGCATCATGTTCTCGCCATTCTCCCTAGTTTTTTATTATAATATTCCCTTACACAATTTGTGGCACATAAATTGAACTTATACTATCGTATGTTTATCTTATGTATTTATTTGTGACACACCTAACAAAAAAGTGAACTGTGAAAAGTTAAAAACTGTATTCAAACTGTTCTTGGTGCAACTACCGGTCGCGTAAGCGAAAGCTGGCCAGCAAACATCAAGTGCGTCAACTGTCTACTAGACATCACTTCAGTAAAAAGGAAGGTACCAATTCATATTTCTTCCTATTTAAAAATTTATTATTTTGTGCTCACAGTGTGTCTCTAAAGCTGATCTTAACATAATATATCTCACATCCCTCATTTTTTATACAGTCCACCATATCGAAGTTTACCCCCCATTCGCTGTTCCTGTCGACCCGGATTACTTTTGCCAATTAAAATATAATTGATGCAGTACAACAATTTATTTCTCAAATGAATGTTTATGATCAGTGTCACATCCCTATTTTGTCTTGTGAAACATTATTACGAACAATTTTAATGTCCATTCCTATTCCATACCAGACAGACAATTATTTTCATGTTCAATTTTGTTACTGCCACCTAAATCCGTTAAGTTAGTTTTTCGTTTGTCTTGAAATAAATCAAGCGTAGAACATTTTTCAGGATTGAATATTTATTCATATCTCATCCATAAAATCCTTTTAAATAATAAGGTCTCACAATCAATTCAGCCTTATTATTTGGTTTTATAAATAAAACTGCAAAGTTAGTTAGTAGTTATTTCCCAGAAATATTCTATCCCATTGTCCGCCATTTTTGCAACAACGTTCTGTCCTTTGCGATACACCTTGGTAGTTGGTAGTTCTCAACTTCGCCAACAGATCGCTCTGCGCTACATGGCAACCAATAACCTGCAAGATTAGTGAAACGGTGGAACTGAGGACGAACCAATCACCTGTCTGCTACTAAACTGAAAACTCAACTCATCAAAACTCTGTTCATCTACATCAGCTGTTTAAATATAACCCGATCTTGAATTGAAACATATAACCTGCAAGTGTGTTTATGTTGTTGAAAAATGAACACATTATTTATTTAATCAAATACGAATTGAAAAGGGTCCTGAACTGGAGAAAACTGGTAATTATTGTTATTGCTATGCTCTCTTTATTCATTATTGTAAATATTATTGTCAACAGAGATTATTGGTATAGTAACAAATTGATAATTGACTTCACTTTACTATTGAATTTGAATTGCAAATTGATTTATGCACTTCAGTAGGCCTAGATTTATGAGATCATAATTAATTTAAGATTTTGGGCTATTTTATGAAAACTCATCTATTCTTGTTGTGTGTTATTTAATTTGTTTGTTCATGATGAGATACTCTACCCTACAAAGAAAAGCAAAACTTGTTAAAAACAGGTTTCAGAAAATAAATAAATATTTGTCAAACCAACTTCCTCGCACTGAAGGTCAAGAATTGAATCCTGCTACTATACAGCGTTTACACAATTATAATGAGGTCAGAGATCTATTTACTGACTTTAAAACTGTATTTAATAGAGTTGTGACTGATGACCCTGCTTCTGATTGTGAGGAAGAGGAATCATTTTCAATGCATGATGATTTTTCTGACCTGTATGTCGCCCTAACAAGTGACATTAAAGTTCTTTTGCCAGTTGAACCTGTTGTAACACCTACTCCACCTCCAGCTTCTCTGCGCCTGCCTAAATTTTATTTGCCTAAATTTAGTGGTAACTATGAAGAGTGGGTTAGTTTCTATAATATTTTTGAAGCCTCTGTCAATGTGAATAATTCTGTCTCCCCAGTGAATAAGTTTCAGTATTTACTTAGTGCCCTGAGTGGTGAGCCCTTAGACTTGGTTAAGAGTCTTAATATTACTCCTGAAAACTATGTGGTAGCCCTTCGACTTCTCAAGGATCGCTATGAAAACAAGAGACGTATTGTCACTCAGCTTGTTACAAAAATTCTGGATTTGTCGCCCATTACTAGTGGTTCGCTTAAGAGCTTGCAATCATTTCTCACTGTATATAAGGAAAATACTCAAGCTTTGAAAAACTTAAATCATGACATTACAACTGAAAACAACCTGTTAGTCTTAACACTTTTAAAGAAGATCCCAGCTGATATTAGAAAATCTTTTGAAGACTCTCGCGCCTTAAACAATGAGATCCCTCTTGTTAATGATTTAATGACCTTTCTTGAAATGGAATTCAAACGTTTAGAAGGTGCTAGTATTTGTCTCAGTTCACCATCTACCTCAAAGTATTCCACTGGCCAAAAGTGTCCTACAAACATAACTAGGCCTAATAAGTTTACACGTGAAAGTAAGCCACATTTCACCAACCATACAAAAACTGCTTTTGTCGCCACAACCAACTCTTGTAGATTTTGTCAAGCTGCAGATCACAACATATACAAGTGTCAAGCTTTCCTAGCTAGAAGTGTGAGTGAAAGATCTGAGTTTATTCGCAAGAATAGGATTTGTACAAACTGCCTCGGTTACCTTCATAACACACTCAACTGCCCTTCAAGTAAAGTGTGTCAGATTTGCTCCAAACATCACCATACTCTATTGCATGAGCCCACACGTAGTTCACTTCAGTCACAGTC